GCCCTAAACATTATAAACTCTCAGTTTTACATAATAGTTTTTAGTTCCTTCACCATCCTGCTGCCCTCCTTTAAATATATGCCCCAATTTGCCTCTTTCACATTTGAAGTATGGTTCTCAGAACCAAGCAAAATATTCCCAGTGGTTTTGAGTGGCCAACCACAGTGAACAAACTACCATGTTCATGTTCTTTGTTCTGAATTTTACATTTTTATTAATACTGATTGAAAGTATAACCACACGGGAGGCAGTGTATATCAGTGTTGACTTGTTCATTTATTGATTCAGTGGACAGATATTTTTTGAGGTTTTACCATGTGCCAAGCATTGAGCAATGAGATAGAGATGTAATAAATAAGACACAGTCTTTGTTCTCAGGTGACAAAGAGGAGACAGATATTAATCAATAATCATGCAAAAATAAACTCAGAAATTGTGATAAATGCTATGGAAATACTATGAGAAATTTGAGAATATATATTGCGGTAGTTAAAACAATGACCCTCAAAGTCGTATACATTATAATCCATGAACCTGTGACTCTGTCACCTTACACGGCAAAAAGGACTCTGTAGGTGTGATTAAGTTAAGGCTCATCAAATGAGATTATCCTGAAATATCTAGGTGGGCCCAATGTGATCACAAGAGTCCTTAAAAGAGGAAGGCAGAAGGGTTAGAGACAGACATGGCAAAAGGAAAAATGGGAAGGTTTGGTGAGGAAGAGGAAGAGATTTGAGGATGCCACTTTCTGGTTTTGAAGGCTGAGGAAGGAGTCATGAGTCAAGGAATTTGGGCAACCTTTAGAAGCTGGAAAAGACAAGGAATTGGATCTTTCCCAGAGCCTTCAGAAGGTATGCAGCCCTGTCAATACGCTGATTTTAGGACTTCTGACCTCCAGAATTTTAAGATAATATTTGTGGGTTTTGTTTTACTTTATTTTGTTTGTTTTTTGTTTTGAGTCTCGCTCTTTAGCCCAGGCTGGAGTGCAACGTCATGATCTTGGCTCACTGCAACCTCCACCTCCCGGGTTCAAGCGATTCTCCCACCTCAGCCTCCTGAGTAGCTGAGATTACAAGCACTTGCCATCATGCCCAGCTAATACTTTTGTATTTTAGTAGAGACAGGGTTTCACCATGTTGGCCAGGCTGGTCTTGAACCTCAGGTGATAAGCCCACCTTGGCCTCCCAAAGTGCTGGGATTAAAGGCATGAGACACCATATCCAGCCTACATTTGTATTGTTTAAAGCCACTAGGTTGATACTAATTTGTTAAAGCAACAATGAGAAATCGGTACATAGAACAAAAGACCTGATCCAACTTGGGGCAGGTCCTAGATGCCTCTTTTGAGAGCTGAAAGATGAGGAGGAGATAACCAGGCAAATGTGGGGAAAGAAGAAAGCATTCCAGACTATGAGACTGGTCCCTGAGGCTGGGCAGGAGGACAACTAATAAGTCCAAATAAGTAAGAGGTCAGTGGAGACACGAAAGGAGAGAGTAGTTTTATATGTGGGAGAGAGGGAAGCAGGAGCTGAGTCATTTTTATAAGCTATTCTATAGAATGAGGATAATAGTATCTAAAAGTGTTGTTGTGAACATTAAATAAAATAATCCTTTTAAGTGCCTGGTACATAGTAAGTAATAATAAGAATTGCAGCTGTTATTATTAAAATTTGAATTTAGACTCTTCAAGATTTGATTTTGAACATGATGTGCAAGACAGACTGATATCCAGAAAGGAAAAATGATTCTGTCATGTGAACTATGGAATATCTCACTTTTTATTTGTTTTATTCATTGCTTGTATATTAGTCAGATATTGCCATGATGATGCTGTGTAACAAAACACCCCAAAACCTCAGGACATACAACAAAAGGATTTATACTCATGCTCACAGATCTGCAGGTCTAATGAGATCTCACTGGGCTGGAAAAAGACTTGGCTTGGTAGCTCTTCTTCAGTTTATGGATTGACTGAACTTGCTTCCAGTTTGTGGGCTGGGTTTGGGTATATTCCACATGTGTTCATTCTAGGGCCCAGATTGAAGGGCAGTAGCTACTTGCCGCATGTTCCTCTCATGGATGGAGCACTAGAGCACAAGGGCCAAGCCAAACCTCATGTAAGGCCTCTACCTGGGTCAAATTGGCCAATGTTCTGTAGGCCAAGGCAAGTTAATGGCCAAGTTCGAAATTAAGGAGGTGGTAAAGTACACCCTGCCCTCAGTGGGATGGAAAGAGAGATATTTTCTGACCTCTAATTCAAAGTCACACTTGCTAGTTTATAACACTTTGTAAATTTCACATTAAGGGATAATAATCTCAATTAACAACTATGTTCTATTTTATCCACATTTATTAATATTATATTTAGCAGAAATTTTTCATATGACAGATTTAAAATCTATACATAATAATATAACTTATGGTAAATAATCACTATAATATGGAATTTTAATATAAACATCACTGCCCTCTTTTCAAATGTACAACAACACATTAGGCATTTTCCCCCTCTTAATTTTAATTTTTAAATGTTATTCTTCAGTAATCATAACTTTTTTTTAAAGGGTAGTCACTGAGGATAACTACAGAGACTAAGCTCTTTTTTTTGTTTTTTGAGATGGAGTTTCTCTCTTGTTGCCCAGGATGGAGTGCAATGGCTTGAACTCGGCTCATTGCAACCTCTTCTTCTCAGGTTCAAGCGATTCTCCTGCCTCAGCCTCCTGAGTAGCTGGGAATTCAGGCGCATGCCACCACGCCTGGCTGATTTTTGTATTTTTAGTAGAAACAGTGTTTCTCCATGTGGGTCAGGCTGATCTTGAACTCCCGAACTCAGGTGATCTGCCCGCCTTAGCCTCCCAATGTGCTGGGATTACAGGTGTGAGCCACCGCGCCTGGCCTAAGAGACATATCTGAGGGAGAACTGCTAGTGTTTAATGGCTACTTCCATGAGAAGTAAGAAAGGAGAAGTGGAGAATAAATCCAAAATTGACCGGTTGAATGAAACAAGTATGTGGTAGGCTGCCTTTGTTAGAAAGGGGATGATATGGTAGGAAAGTATCCCATTTTGGACTTAAGACACCATGACAAATGATGACACATAGATAGATCTATCAGACAGTTGGAAATAGCTACTTCACATTTGGTAAAATGTTCTCGGGACTGAGAATATGGGTATGAGAGGCTTTAATATGGAAGCCATGGGAATTTCACTTGTATGAGGATGTAAATTGATAAATGGACCAAAGACATAAACATAGTGAAATAGATGTGTTTAAGTAGCACCTAGAGAAGAAACCAGCAAAGGAGACTAAATAGAGAAAGCAGTGACAGCAACTGCAATCCTGGCTACTCTAATCATCTGATGTTCCATGAGGTGTCCAAGAACTGAAAAAAATAAAAATATATCCAGAATAATTGGACTGACAAAACATATATTTGCCACCTATCTAGAACATTCCAAACACCTAGTAAAATTCCAAGAAACCTGTTATTGATTGATCTGATCAACTTAAACATAAAATCTAGGTAAGCGGCTGATGCCTAGATCCAAGAATACCAGAAGTCTTTAGTACTTGCATTTTTTGTCCTGGTTCATCCACTAAATCATTTAATGTCTATGAACTGGTTTTCTCATCTTAATAAAAGAAAAGCTATGGAGGCTGGGATAGCCAGATGACATCTTAGGTTACCTACAGCTCTAAAATTTAAAGTTTCTCCAGAGACTCAAGCAATTCTGAGATGGAAATCTTAAATAGATTGACTCAAGAGCAAATGCAGAAGTAATGATTACTCTTTCCTAGTGTCACCCTTCCCCCTGCCTCAATGATTAATGATTGGGAATCCCCAGAAGGATATGGGAGGCATAGAATACTTTTCTAGTTCCCGTCAAAAGTGCTGGGTGATTGTCACCCATCCACACTGAGTGGTGCCTGGCATCACATTGGTGAAATGGCATTCATATGTAACCCACCGAGAAGTACCTCTCCTTCAGTACCTTTGCAGTGGCTCACCAGACACCTGATACTCCCCTACCTCCCAGTGGAATCCCATGAGCTTCTTCAGGTAGTTGTGTCTAAATGGTCTGAGTTCGTCTGAGGACTGCGTAAGGTTCGAAGTCATCATTCAAAGGCTCAGGATTAAGATTTCTCCCCACCCCCCACCAACTCCCCAACAGAATTAAAAAAAAAAAAAAAAACAAGGACAGATAAAGAAAAGAACAAACTTTAAACTGATGACTCGTTTTGCAAGGGGCCAACTGTATGTTACTACTATTAATCAAGTAACACTGGTTTGAGAGGGTGGCTCAGGATTGATAACCAGTGGTCTGTTCTCTTCTGCTTGATGATGCAACAACTCGTGTTGCCAGGCTCACTGTTCTGGTTTCTGGATTATATTACTTTTAAAAAAAATAAAGACAATTTTTGTGAAGCCGTTACTCCGATTCGTCTGGTTGTACGCAGGGAACCGCGGTACTCAATCGCGTCACGAAAGGCAAGTGGGCATTTTTTTTTTTTTTTTTTTTTGAGACGGAATTTCGGCTCTTCTTGCCCTCAGTCTGGTAGTGGCATGGTCCAATCTTGGCCTCACTGCAACCTCCGCCTCCAGGCGTTCAAAGCGATCTCCTGCCTCAGCCCTCCCGAGTAGCCTGGATTACGGCACTGGCGCCACCACGCCGGCTATATTTTTATGTTTACCCCCGTAGAGACGCGGGGTTCTGCATCACTGTCCCAGGCTGGTCCGAATCTGACCTCAGCGTGATCGCCCGCCGCGGCCCTGACAAAGTGCTGGGTTACAGGCGTGAGCCACCGCGCCCAGCTGCAGGTGAGTATTTCTTTAAGGACTGGGCGAGAGGCCTTCCGCTCCGAGAACACTTACAGAAAGTGGCCTTTCCTGGTCACTGCGAACGCACCTAGGACACTGCGAACAGCTGGCTTCCGGGCCCCGCCCCCACCTGTAGACTCCGCCTCTGGGTCCGCCACCCTCCCGTCAGGCGCCGCGCGCGCTCATTGCCCGGCCAGTCAGGCTGTGTCCCGCCCCTTGCGGCCCCGGAGAGATGGCGGAGTTGGACATCGGGCAGCATTGCCAGGTGGAGCACTGCCGGCGGCGAGGTGATCGGGGAGCCCCCAGCCCCCATCCCCGGCCACGGGATACCGGGGCTCCGCTTTGGCTCCGCGGATGGTGGCGGCGGGTGAAGGGAGGCCACAAGGCTGGGCAGAGCCTGAGGAGCGGGGTGGGAGCGTTTCTTCTGGGGCTGCAGTGAGATCGGTTGGTGCGTGTTTTTGTTGGCCGTGAGGCTTTGAAATGACTTGTGGTATCCTTGGAAGGAAGCCATTCCTTTCCTGAAAACGTACCTTGCAGTGTTCATTTTGGTTTTCGAGTGTGCCGTGTCCGAGCAGTGCACGAAGCCCACTGCTGGGTCACGTGGCGCACACTTACCCTGCTGAGCGCTGGGATGGGACGCGTAGGATTGGTCTGAGAGTGTTGTCTTTTGGCTTTGCCACGGCGACCTACGGCCAGCCACTTTCCCAAACGTTTTGTTTACTTATCTGTTACTTAGCTGTCAGGAGGAGTTGGGCGAGATCAGCTCGCCCAACTGGTATTCACGTGGATTTGTGTCCGGAAGAAGGTACTTCCTTAGCTTTTATCAAATTCTCAAAGGCATCCTGATCCTCAGATTATTCCACCAAATGGTCATCATGCTCTCCTAGCTCTGTCATTCCCTGATTCTCATTATTATTGTTTGAACAAACATTTACAGATTATTGATTTTGGTGCTTGGACCACATAAGGGTGTAAACTACAGTCATTTACACAGAAGACCTTTCCAACTAGTAAGCTGCGTTTTAGAGAGAGTTAATAATATGGCGATGAGCTCTCCCCATTGTACTGAGACACCTTGGGATATACCTAGTCCAAGGTAATGTGGCACTGGCTTCAGGATGCTATACACCTGGAAAAGGCAAGTTTTTGGAGCGTTAGAACCACACAGACTGCTCAGTCGTTGTTACTAGGTTTCACACACTACATAAGGTAGCAAACAGGTTTAATCTCCCCTTGCAACTTCAGTCATTGGTATCAAGTGCCTGAATACGGTGTCAGGGACTCTGAGATTTAGCCCAGTTTCAGTGGAGTTCCATAATTGATTGGTGATTTCTACTGTGGGCATGCATGATAGCACAGGTGACAATCCCTTCTAGGTTCTTGTTACTTATAGCCCTCTATCTATGTATCTTTCACCACTGGCTGTAATAACAAGACAGTGTGACTTTTTTCATGTGGAAGCTTAGCCATTTGGGTTTTTTTTTTTAATACTTTAAGTTCTAGGGTACATGTGCATAATGTACAGGTTTGTTACATATGTATACTTGTGCCATGTTGCTGTGCTGCACCCATCCCATTTGGGTTTTGACTGTAAATTATGTGTGTCTATGCCTGATCCCCCGCTAGTGAGTCCAATACACATTATATGCCATTCATAACATAGTTCATTTTCCTTTCCAGCTGTTTATCTCTTTAGTGTCAATAACTGAGATGAGGCCAGGCCTATCTGTTTGAGACTAGTGGAAAGCAGTTAAGATTTAGACTATGTCAAGTGTATATCCTAAATTTTATCTCCCTTCTGGAGGGATTGAAGGATGGTATCAGGTGCTGGGAAATTGTCTTGACTTAACTCTTTCCCCTGGGTCCTTCTGGTTTGCATCTAATACTTCATTATTAAAAGTCTCAAAATATTAAACATCTCCACCCAGTCACTGCGGTATTGTTCTTTTTTGTTTGTTTGTTTGTTTTGTTTTGAGATGGAGTCTGGCTCTGTGACCCAGGATGGAGCCCAGTGGCGCCATCTCGGCTCTCTGCAACCTCCGCCTCCTGAGTTCAAGTAATTCTCCTGCCTCACAGCCTCTTGAGTAGCTGGGATTACAGGCATGAACCATCATGCCCAGCTAATTTTTTTGTGTGTTTTTAAAAATTTTTTAGTAAAGATGGGGTTTCGCCATGTTGGCCAGGCTGTTTTCAAACTCTCAACCTCAGGTGATCCGCCCGCGTCGGCCTCCCAAAGTGCTGGGATTACAGGCATGAGCCACCGCGCACGACGCTTTGCAGTATTGTTCTGAGTTGAGTGTACTCAAAAGAAGTTAATTGTTGTATTATTCCTATTAATTATAGTTACCGTATTACTATTCTGATCTTTTATATATATCTCATTTGGTTTTTATAAGTACACTATGAGGTCTGTGTGGCCTACAGCATAGATACAGATATAGATATATTCACACATGATACACACACATACATATATACACAGAAAGGATGTGCTTATCTCTTTATACCTGTCTCTGTATCTACCTGTCTATATCTTTCTATTTTTTCTTACCCAATAATAGAGCTTTGGTTTTGTATATGTTTATTTACATACATATATAGAAATACACATATACTTTATACTACTATATATTACATCAAATTATATATATTTGAAATACCATAAATCTTATAGATGTATATATAAATATAAATGTATTTGAATATAGTCAAGCTTTGGCGATATATATATATGTTGTTCACACGCAGATATATATTAGTACACAGATATATATAAAAATATATATTTATTGGATATATATAAATATATATATATCCAAAGCTTTATTGTTAAGTAACTTGCCTAGCATTGTTAGATTAGTAAGCAGTGGAATCAGAATTGAATCCCAGGTTTTTAACTCCAAATGCGGAATTTTTGCAGTATACAGTCATCAAAAACAACACCTAGTAAATCTGGGAAACAAAACAAAAAAGAAAAAGAAAACCACTAGAACTTATTTTTGTCTGACTTAGTAAAGGTACAAGCAACATCTGTTAATACCTTCTGTTAATCCAATTGCTTTCTGTCAGTTATTGAAGTTGTGATTACTTTTCTTAGAGTGGTTACATAGTGCTTGCTACACTAGGATATTAATCAAAATGGGAAATTTTTCCGTAGAGGTTGCTTTCTTGCTTAAGAAAACTAAATCAAAATCAGATACTGACCAGTATATACATTTTCTCTCAATTTTAGATTTTCTTCCGTTTGTGTGTGATGATTGTTCAGGAATATTTTGGTAAGTTAAGTTTTCATGTAGGATTTGGGAGTAATTTTAATGTTTATTAATATGAGATTATTTCTGAAAAGTAGAATGATTTAAAGTAATTGTTACTTTAGCCATTGATTATTGATATTCTGTATAGTTGTAGGCTCTGATTACTTCTTCATATATGTGACTAATTTTTAAACTTCCAAAAGTGGGGTTATGTATGTGAATTTTATATAAAAGTTACATTTTTGTCTTTTAATTACAAGGAGAAAATAATATTCACAATATAAAGAATATGGTAAAAATCTAGTTATAATTATTACTCTTTATTTTAATTAATAAAATGAAAAGAGCCCAACCTCTAAATGCCTTAAAATAGGAATCACAGCATTTGACTACATTACATGCCAAGTAAAACCTGGGAATTAATCAAGAATTTTGGAAAATGGATTTTCCTTACAGTTAAACTTTAAAATGTCAAGCATTTGTTTTACAAAATAGGGCACTGAAAGAATGATTTTTTTTCAGAATGTAATTCAAAATGATTTGTTGGAAGTAAATAAAAGTAATGTATATTTTTAAATTATTTGGAATTAGAACACTCTTCACATTTTACTACTGATGATCTTTTAGAAATAAAAAGAGCTGAAAGATACGTTTATATTTTCATGTACCCTAAAGTATTCAAAGTAAACGTAATTTAGTGTGGTGAATTGTTTTTACTCATTGAAATTGAATATTTGTGTTTTAAAACTTTTGAGACTATAGATGCTCCATCTTTAATTTATCTGACATTTCAGTTTTTTCTCATATTCAAAGTTATTGATGTAGTATGAGCATAATGTATCTTAAGAATACTGAACATTAAAATATCACAAATTACTGCAGTTATCTCTAAGCATGTTATTTAAATAAACACTTACCATTATTATTTAAGCCTTGAACACAGAAGCAGGGAGTCTCATGGTTGTCCTGAGGTATGTTAATATTTTTCTGATCTGATAAAATGTATTTGTATTTATGTACTTTTATTCTGAATTTGATTAGATTTAAAGCCAGTCAGTGTCACAGAGATTAAAGTTTGGCACACTAAACTGATTAGGTAAACAGGCTTTTGCTTCATTTATATTATTTTTCTCTGTTTGAAAAAAAAAATTGTTTTACTTGGTATTTGTAAATTTTTATCCTCATAATTCTTATTCCTTAACATTTGTTTAGGTAGCCCACTTACAGCGTAAGGCTATATATTTATTTGTTTGTTTTGTTTTGTTTCGTTTTTTTTGAGATGGAGTTTTGCTCTTGTTGCCCAGGCTGGAGTGCAGTGGCCTGATCTTGGCTCACTGCAACCTCTGCCTCCTGGGTTCAAGTGATTCTGCTGGCTCAGCCTCCCAAGTAGCTGGGATTATATGCATTCGCCACCATGCCCAACTGATTTTTGTATTTTTAGTAGAGATGGGGTTTCACCATGTTGGCCAGGCTGGTCTGAAACTCCTGACCTCAGGTGATCTACCCGCCTTGGCCTCCCAAAGTGTTGGGATTACAGGCGTGAGCCACCGCGGCCATCTAAGGCTATATATTTATAAATATACACTAAAGTTAATGTCCTCCTTGTATATTCCCTCCAGTTCACTGTGTCCTTCACTGTTGTGTTCATTTTCACTGATGCCCGCTGATAGGATCTGTGGTAGTAAATCATTCTGGCTCAGTCAGCCTAAGATAACCAGGAAGAAACCTATAGTATAATAAAATTCCTACCCTAATTTTGCACAAATCATAAGTTAAGAAAGGTCTGGCAAATAGAGGTCAAAATATTACCCTTATTACTGGTAAAGATAAGTTGAATGATGAAGCTCAGCATAAAGCCAAATGGGTTTGCAAAGAAAATCCAGAATTAGGGAGACTTGCCCAGCAGTCACAGCAGTACTGGACCAGGTTAGGCTTTCTCCTGAAGGCAGTTCAATTCCAAAAGGAAGAGAGAAAGCTAAACCCACCATGTTCAATGTGTTCTAACACTTTTCAGTGGACATTTATTCCTGCCCACCATTTACCAAGTGCTTTACCAAATATTTTCACATCTGTTTTCTCAGTTATAGAAAGTTATTAAAGTTACATGAGATTCAGTTGAAATCTGATTCTTTCGAGTTTAAATGATCAGTCAAAATTTGATTCTTTGAAGTTTACGTGATCTATTTGAGGAAAATTAAAATTACCTAGCATGTTGATTTTATGCAGCGTTACCTGGAGGAAATATTCAGTCATACAATAAAACTTACTGATGTTTCTTGCAGTTTATAAATCTATCCTGTATTTTCTTTTTTCTTAGGATATAATTTGATTTCTCTGAATGTCTCTCAGATAATTAGATTCTATTAATTAAATACTGAAACATCATTAGGCCATTGCAACAAGTTCAAAAAGATACTTAAGTTAATTCCAATAAGATGTAACTATTATTTATAAAAAGAAATTCCCTTTGGTTGTAGTTTTCAAGCAATTATTTCCCTAAGTTTACTCATCTTTAGAAACCTGGTTTGTTAATGCTCAGAATAGCCTGGCTGATCTAAATTTTTTTTTTTTTTTTTTTTAGTCTTATAAAATCTTTTCTTCCTGTGGTGGAGTATTTGCTGGTAATAAAAATATGAAATAGGGCATAAAGAATAATATATGATTACAAAAACTGTCTTTAACCTTTTATCTCACGAATAAATAAATATTTTTAAATGTTTTATTCTCTGAGTTAAGTATTTTATCTCCTAAAATTAGTGTGGAAATTAGGTTGACTTGCCATTTGAGGGTTGATGAGATAATTACCTGAGCATATCATGGGGTCATCTTTGTATGAGACTGTTACAAAGCAGGTTAAAATTATAGAGCGTAATTAAATAGTCATTTCAACTTGACTTAGAAGACAAATATACCACAGTAGGAAAATTATGAAAATGTGGAACAGTCAGCATAGTAATCATTTGTCACACAAAACATTCATTATAATCTTTATGTGAGAGTAAGTAACTTGCTCTAATAAGTTTAAGCAAAAATAATATGAATGCTGCCTTCTAGAATAGACACATTGATTTGGTTTAGGTCTGAAATGTAATACATTTCATCCTTTTTGCATTTTCAGGTGACTGTAATCAATGAGAGACTGAAGACAGATCAACATACATCTTACCCATGCTCATTCAAAGACTGTGCTGAGAGAGAACTTGTGGCAGTTATATGTCCTCATTGTGAGAAGAATTTTTGCCTGAGGTGGTTGATCACTTAGGCTGTTCACACTTTGTATATCTATTTAAGTCCTATACAAACACATGAACTAGTGTCACTCTTCTGTTGCTCATAGACACCGTCATCAGTCAGATCATGAGTGTGAAAAACTGGAAATCCCAAAGCCTCGAATGGCTGCCACTCAGAAGCTTGTTAAAGACATTATTGGTAAGTATCTAGAAAGTGTGTTTTGTTGCTTTCCTAGTTCCAGAGCTCCTGCTTCTTATGTCTACTTTCCAATTATGGGAGGCATCATTAATAGCCCTAGTGGTATTTGTATTAACTTGCATTTTGATGATATTCTTGTGACAGTATATCTTACGAGGTCTACCTGAACAATGAAAATTTGGAAATTATTTAGAAAGTACTCCACCATAAGTACTTATCTCTTTTGCTGAGCCACTTAGATTAGCTAGTTAACCATTGGTCTAGAAATTGTATTCATGAGATTGAAGTAGTCAGCTGCTTTCTCTACAGACTAAACTCTAAACCTAGTCAGCTGTGCTGTGAATACTGCTGATAATAAGAGATACCAGAAATGAATGTATCTGTGACTTAAATCAGTCTTTCTGACGGTATGCTAGCTCAGAATTTTTATTCCATATTAAGGATAGTACCTTTATTAAAATCTTACATATGCAAGTCTTAAGGTTGTCTGTAGAAGCATTAATGACTGCTTTAGGTTGAATAGGCTTAAGTTGGAAAGAAGCACATTATGGTGAATTTTTTGATGTGGAGATTGCTTAGATCAATCTCAATGATATTTTTCCATTGACCATGTAAATACAATACCTATACAATGAATGTGGTCTCTGTATATCTCTCTTGTGTGTAATTTATATATGTTTCAGGGCCATAATTAATAAGTGTTTTTTAATGAAACTCTATTTGTAATGTGAAAGTTTTATGTGATTACATGCTTACACTTCTTAGATTCCAAGACAGGAGAAACAGCAAGTAAACGACGGAAAGGTGCCAAAAATAGTGAAACAGCTGCAAAGGTTGCATTGATGAAATTAAAGATGCATGCTGATGGTGATAAGTCATTACCACAGGTTGGTCTTAGAGATTTTTTAAAACACAAAAATTTCAAATATAGTTGAAGTCCTCTTTGTGTTCCTCCTTCCCATCAATTAACAACTAACCTAAACCTAGTATGTATCATTCTTAATGTTGCATGGTATATGTCAGCATAAATAATACATAGTTTTATGAGTCTTTTCACTTTATAGACATGACAGTGAACCATATGTATCCTTTTTCGTGTTGGTTTTCTTTTTCCCACTTGGGATGTGCTGTTAACATTTATCCATGCTGAGACGTGTAGTCAACAAAATTCAGATTTTTTTCAATTTTTCGCTATTATAAACTGTCTGTGGTGACCATCCTTGTGTGTATGTAGAAGAGTTTCTCTAGGACTGTTCCTTTAAAACTTCACAATATCAATTATTTTATATAACAACCCAATATATATATGCATACCCTAACACAGTTTAGTTGAGTGGTACTTACCCTTAATATGTGTTATATTATAATATTTGTTATTCTATTTTAAAGATTGTTAGTCAGAACCTATTAGGTTGATTTTCCAACCTCTGATGGATTGAGACTCCCAGTTTAAAAAATGCTACTTTAGGGAATATACCTGGAAATAGAAAACCTGGATTATGGGCTTTGCTGATCTTCAGCTTTACTAGATATGGTCAACTTCCTGTTGTCAGTGGTTGTACTCATTTGACTCTTTCTATTAGTGCTTTCAACCATGTCTATTTTTGGCCATTTATTCCTTCATAAAAATGTTAGGATCACTTTGCCCTATTCTGTGAAATTATTATTTTGATAGGAATTATGCTGAATTTTAGATTAGAGACAGTTGACATCTTTAGAATTTTGACTTTTCTATCTATGTCTCTGGTATATCTTTCCAACTTTTCTTTAGGTTTTCTTTTATGTGTAATTATAGAAGTAACATTCTATAATGCCTACCATAAATATTTATATACCTTTTCTTAGTTTTATTCCTAGGCTCTTTATAATTTTTGCTGTCATTATAAATAATACCTTTTTTAAAAAATTACATTTTCCTAACTATTGTTGGTTAATGTTATGTTGACCTTCTATCTGGCAAATAAATTCCTAATAGTTCCCATATTTTGTAGATTTTTCTGGGCTATTGTCTTTGGAGTTATGTCTTCTCCAAATACCAATTTTTGTGGATTTTTTCTGCAGATTTTCTCTTCTCTTTTGTCCATTATCATTGTTTGTCTTAATGTTGAGATCTTCAGAACAATGTTGAATAATATGGGCAATAGAAGGAATCATCATATTTCTGACTTTAATGCAAATGTATCTAAAGTTTCCTCAAGTATTAGATATACTGTAAGTTAGTGTTAGTAGCCTTTTTCTTGATATTATTATTTCTTTCTATTCCTAGTTTGCTAGGAATTTACATTATGAATGGATATTAAACTTTACTGTAAATTTTTTTCTTACATCTAGTAAGATCATTGTTTCCTCATCAATGTAATAAGTTTTATCAATCAGGTTTCTGTCATTAGATCATCAAATATTCCAGGATAAATCACTTGACTCTGGTATATAATTCTTTTAAATTGATTTGCTGACATATTATTTAGTGTGTATTTGTGACATTAATAGCAAGATTATGCTCAAAAATTAGTTGAGCAGCTTTCTGTCTTCTATTCTTTGAGGTAGTTGTAGAGGGTGGGAATCACTTGTTCTCGAAGGTTTCGTAACACTCAGTTGTAGTAACTCTTGGAGAATTCCGAATACTATTCCAATGTGTTACATCTTTCTTTATCTGGATAATCTATTTCTTCTGAAGTCAATTTTGGTAAATATTTTTCCAAAAAATTGTTTGATGTAGATTTTTCAGTTTATTGTTATCAAGTTGTTGAAGTTATTCTGTTATACTTCAGAATCTCAGTGTGTCTTTAGTCATTCTACTTCTTTCTTAATATTTTTCATTTGTACTTTTCCTTCTTTCCCCTTTAGACAGAATAGCTACAAGTTTATCCTTATTTTTTCTTAGTGTTTTCAAAGAACTATGATTTGGATTTAAAGACCTCTGTGTTTTGTTTTCTGTTTCACTAATTGTTGCTTTTTTATTTTTTCCTTCTGCTTTGTTTAGATTTTTCTCTAATGTCCTTTTTCCAGCCTTTCACATAGAATGATAATTTATTTATTTTATTTTTGTTTTGTTTTGTTTTGAGACAGAGTCTCATTCTGTCATCCAGGCTGGAGTACAGTGGGGCAATCTCAGCTCACTGCAACCTCGGCCTCCTGGGTTCAAGTGATTCTCCTGCCTCAGCCTCATGAGTAGCTGGGATTACAGGTGTGCACCGCCACACCCGGCTAATTTTTGTATTTTTAGTAGAGACAGGATTTCACCATGTTGATCAGGCTGGTCTTGAACTCTTGACCTCGTGATCCGCCCTCCTTGGCCTCCCAAAATGGTGGGATTACAGGCGTGAGCCACTGCGCCCCGCAAGTTTGTTTATTTTATTTTATTTTTTTGAGATGGAGTCTCACTCTGTCTCCCAGGCTGGAGTGCAGTGGCCGGATCTCAGCTCACTGCAAGCTCCGCCTCCCGGGTTTAAGCCATTCTCCTGCCTCAGCCTCCCGAGTAGCTGGGACTACAGGCGCCCGCCACCTCGCCTGGCTAGTTTTTTTTTTTTTTGTATTTTTTAGTACAGACGGGATTTCACCGTGTTAGCCAGGATGGTCTCCATCTCCTGACCTCGTGATCCGCCCGTCTCGGCCTCCCAAAGTGCTTGGATTACAGGCTTGAATATTTTTAATATACTTGTTTAGATGTAACAATATACTTTTTTGGTGTCTTTATTTTGATACCATTTCAAACACAGGCAAGTTACAAACATAGTACAAATAACTTTTCCATATTCTTTACCCAAATGTACCAATTATTTATATTTTGCCCTGTTTGCTTTATCATCTGTCTCTGTCTATATGTACCATATGTATATGTGTGTACTTAATTTTTGATCCACTTGATTTATTACTTTCTCAGGTTAAAATGTCCTACTAGGGATGTGGTTTTGCTAATTTTTTTATATAACTCTTATGGTTTGTAGAGTTATATATTATCAAGTGCATAGAATTTCTTCATTGTTATATGTTCTTTATGAATTTTGCCTTTAATCCTATTTTGAATTATAGTATTGTTTCACTAGCTTTCTTTTGATGAATATTTAACAAGTACGTAATTTTTTCATCCCTTTATATTTCAACTTTTTTTGTTGTTTCATTTTAGGGTGTCTCTTGTAAGCAGCATATAGCTGGACTTTGTTTTTTTAAAACCAGTTTGATAGTATCTCTCTTTTGTAGGTGAGTTGAATCCTTTCTTGTTTATGGTGGTCATTGGTGTATTTGAACATATTTCTTCCATCATATATTTTCTTCTCATCACCCTTTTTCTTTGACTCTTTCTCTTTCCTTTTGTATTGAATTTGTTCTGATGGCTTAGAGACAATTGATTACAGTTTTCTTATTTTATTGACTACCCCTGATATTTTCCTTTTTTGAAATTTTATTTGATTTTTTTAAATTGCAAAGGTAGTACAAGCTTTTAACAAGTGTAACTATCAAAGGATGCATATGGAGAAAAAGCATACATACTCCTGTGTCTCTCATCCCTTTCCATCCCATGAAGCAGCAGTTCTTAACTGAGAGCAGTTTTGCTCCTTAAAGGGACATTCAGCAATGTCTGGAGACATTTTTAGTTGTCACAGTTGGGAATGGGGTGCTCCTGGTATTTAGTTGGTAGAGGCCAGAGATACTGTTAAATTCATACATTGTAGAGGACAAGGCCGACAACAGAGAATTTTTTCTTGGCCTAAAATGTAAATAGTGACAAAGTTGAGAAGACCTGCTCTTAAGTATTCAGTAATACTTACATTACTTTGCAATTCTTCTATTACTTGAAAGATAACAGTGAGAACTTCTACAAGGCTTACTTTGAGACAGTCTTCTAAAACATTTCATCCTTGCAACAAGTTTATAAGGTATGCACTATTAACTCTTACCCAAAAAGAGTAACATTGTATTAACATAGCTAGTAAGTGGAGAACTACGAATTGAAACTAGGCAGTCTGGTTTCACAAATCACCTTTTTCACACACTTAACAATATATCATAAAGCATTCTATAAGTTTGTAGATAAAAGTTTTTCCCTTTATTATTAATGTTTGTGTGTGTATAAATGTAGACATACTAGAGATATATGTGGGTGTCTATGTGTTTATACATACTTACATGTATAATATATACCTGTGTATTGTATCCATGTATATACATATATGTGTAAGTATGTATTATGTGTGTGTATATATATGTGTGTATATCATTTTACATAAATGAAAATGTATTCTACTTGTATATGTATGCAAAGGCATAAAGAATATTTTTCTGTCATTATTTTATAAAAATGGTATCATTCATTTAGTCAACACACTTAAAAAAAAAAATGCTTTCTATATACCAAGCCCTGATGATACAGTAGTGAATAAAACAGAATCCCTCCTGCCCTTATGAATCCAGAGTTCCTGGAGTTTATATGCCACTGGGCTGAGACAGATATTAAATATATAATAGTTCGTGTAGTCATTAGGGCTATAAATGAAACTAAAGCAGGTTTGGGGTAGATTATATATCCTTCTCTCCTTAATGCCTAGTAGAAATTCCCTCAAATGAGTTGGTGTGGCCCTAAATCATTTTCTTTACAAACTGCGTCCTCTTCTGTGATGTGGGTGTACTGTGGCTTATTTTGTCATTTTCCTGTTAATGAGCATTCACTTTGTTTCCAGTTTTGGCTACTGTGCTAAGTAGCCTGTGTAGTACTTTTCTTTCTGTGAGATAAATTCCCAAGAGTGTGTTTGCTGTGTCAAATGGTATGCATATTTTAAATTTTAATAAAAATTGTCAAACAACTTTACAAAGAAATTACAATTCACATTTCAAATCAAACTTCATTGACGGATTGCCTATACTAAGCATGGTTTTGTGGCTCTAGTTTTTTAATCACCTTTAGTACTTACAACTCTTCTGAGATATATTTTTGTCCGAATTTCACAGATGAGTAATCTGGAATTAAGTATTTTTAAGAGCACTAACTTGGTAAGAGCCTGCCATTCTAACCAGTTCCGTGTACTGCCTCTTGTGGCCAAACATGAGAGTACCCTTTTTCTCCATGGGTTCCAGTAACTGTTAGCATTCTTTTTAATATTTTACAGTCTGGTGGCTATAAAAAGATATTTCATAATTGCTTTAATTTGTATTTTCATGACTGTTATTCAGTTTGGACAACTTTTAATATGTTTTTTAGGCATTTGGAATTGCCCTTCTCTGAATTGTTATTGAGTAGTATCCTTTGGTCATTTTTCTTTTGGGATATTTTTCTATTTGTTTTGTTTGGTCAACTTATAGGAGCTCTCAGACTATAAAAGATGTTAATCCTTTATCTATAATCATTATTTGTAAATTGTTTTTCAAATCTATCAGTATATTGATATTATTTACATTTCTAATTGACATAGCAATATTTTACATTTAAATTTTCCAAGTTCTGTCTTTTCTTTCATTCCTGTTGTGGTTTTCCTTTGGGTTTTGTATGTTGGTTTTGTTTTGCATTAGCTTTTTTGTGTGTGTGTGTGACGGAGTTTTGCTCTTATTGCCCAGTCTGGAGCGCAATAGTGCGATCTCAGCTCACTGCACCCTCTGCCTCCTGAGTTCAAGCAATTCTCCTGCCTCAGCCTCCTGAGTAGCTGGGATTACAGGCATGCGCCACCATGCCCGGGTAATTTTTGTATTTTTAGTAGAGACAGGGTTTCACCGTGTTGGTCAGGCTGGTCTCGAACTCCTGACCTCAGGTGATCCACCTGCCTCAGCCTCCCAAAATGCTGGGATTATAGGCGTGAGCCACTGAGCCTGGCTTGTTTTAGATTAATCTTTAATCCACCTGTTTTTTTGGTTAGCATATGATGTGAGCTAAGGGCTTAATTTTATTTTCTTCCAGTTGTTTAGGTAGTTTTGCCATCACTGATTATTTAATAAGTTATCTATATTTTATTGGATTGAAATACCAAAATATCACCTTCATGAAAAGTTGAACATTTTATTTTCTGTATATGGATTTATTTCTTAATTTTCTATTACAGTCTACTCATTTTTTACTCCTAAGTTAATACCAAATTGATTTGGTGCAATAGCTTTATAGAATGTTCTATATCAGATCATGCAAGTCCCATCCATATTTTTCCATTTTTTCTTAGTATTTTTATTAGCATTTATTTATCCTTCTGAATGTTATGATTATTATATCCAGATTTTGAAAAATAACACTCTTAGGATTTCTAGGTTACCATAATGGGGCAAGGTTGTGAATAACAGACTTCAACATAGCCTGTTAAAGAAGTTAGACTCTTTAAAAGCAAAATGTGGAAACTGAGAGTATGATTATAAAAAGCAACAGATAACACAGCATAGTCTTAGTTCTATGAAGTTAGGTGAAGTACAGTTCGAATTCCCAGCAGTATCTACTAGCAATTCTAGGCTTTTGGCCTGACTCAGAACCGTTCCTGAAGGATTCACATTGGATTTGCTTTATATGCTATACATTAGTTTTGGAAGAAATGACATTTTTATGACATTGTCTTTCTTCAAGGACCTTATATGTCTTTGTTTATTCAGATGTTTTATTCCCTTCTGTAATATTTTATATTTTTCTTCTTTTATGTTGTATTCCTTATTTTCATTGCTACATATTTTATGGTTTTTGTTTAGGTTGGGAACAGAATATTTTCCCTACTTCTATTGCCACGTACTTGTTACTAATAAAGAGAAAAAAAAATCTTGAGTTCTGTATACTCATATTATTCAGCTACATCATCAAAATATTATTAATTTTAGAAGTTTTTTTCTACTAGTGTTTTTCAATTTTCTAGTTAAAAATTATACCTCATTAACAAATAAGAATAGCTTTAATTTTTTTCAGTAATTATACTCATTATTTCCTTTTTCATACTACATTGTCTATAATCTCCAATATAATATCCTAAAATGATAATGGTGGTAACAGCTATGTGCTTACATTCTTAACGTATATAATTAAATATCAGTGTTTTTCTCAAAGCCTAAAGTTAGTTGGTAGTATATCCTCCTGAATACGAGCTTGAAATGCTTTATCCAGTTGACCCTCTCCTATCCCATCATCTTTTTTTAACATAAAAATTAATAGCTATTAAAATTTACCAACACTTTTTTTTTTTTCGTTTCTCCTTCTTTAGGGCTCACTTTTATTTTTGCTAAATTACATTCTTTAGCAGTTCATTCAGTAAAGGTCTCTGGTAATAAACTCTATCAGTCTTTTTGTTTGTTTGTTTGCACATGCCCTTATTTTGCCCTTACTTTTAGCTGGATTGTCTATTAAACTTTCTCATCACTTTAAATATACTTTGTCATCTATTATTGGAGGGACATCTGTGTCAGTCTTACTCTATGAGTAGTCTGTCTTTTTTGGTAGCTTTTAAGATTTCTTGTGATATTTTCCAATTTCTGTGGAATGTTTCTACGTGTGGATTTATTTTAATTATTTAGTTTGCCACATTGTAAATTTTGACTTTTTGGAAAATTGTACTCATTTTCTCTCTAAATAGTGCTACTTCATTTCTTCTTTTCTGAATCTCTCGTCGACATACTTTGGGGATCTATAGTTGTTTTTGTTTTTTTTTTTTTTTGAGACGGAGTCTCACTCTGTCACCCAGGCTGGAGTGCAGTGGCACAGTCTCAGCTCACTGCAGCCTCCACTTCCTGGGTTCAAGCAATTCTCGCGCCTCAGCCTCCTGAGTAGCTGGGACTACAGGCGTGTGCCACCACACCTGGCTAATTTGTGTATTTTTAAGAGACAGGGTTTTGCCATGTTGGTGAGGCTGGCCTCAAACTCCTGACCTCAAGTGATCTGCCCGCCTCAGCCTCCCAAAGTGCTGGGATTACAGTTGTGAGCCACTTCACCCAGCCTATAATTGTTTCTATCTTGTATCTCTTTATGCGGTATTCTGGATGACTTCCTCGTATCCATCTTATAATACATTAGGCCTTTTTATTGAGGATTATAGAAGCTTATCTATAATAAATTTTGAGTGTTTTACTCCAGAAACTATTTTTTAATTTTCATTTTTTGACTTGGATCTTCATGTCTTTTATGTTTTATTTGTGCCTATTTTGGTTTTATAACTTCTTGTTTCCTTTTTTATCTAATTGTGCATCCTAAATACCTTTTTTAATGTCTTTTTAAAGTTCAGCTGTCTTCATTTGCCCATAATGAGTTAATCTTCAGTTTGTTTTGAAATTTCAGTTACTAAATTTACATGTTCATCTTGAATAGGAGGTTCTTCCTATATCTCTCCTTCCTCTCACTCACAGATCCCTGTCTAGCAATTTTATACTTAAGTCAGCATTCAGCAGTAACTTCAGCTGCCCTTCCTGGAGCAGAGGTCCCACACACTCCTCTGCTTCTGAGCAGGGAGCCTGACCCAGGAGCTTTATACATATCTCCCTGTGGTGCTGTTACTTCCTCCTTACCTATAAGCTGACCTCCTCTTCTTCTGGAGCCCTGAGAGTCTGTGACTCAGCCAGCCTGTCACCTTGCATTTCCGTTTCATTTTTGATGCTCATACATATTTATCTTTTTTTAAAAAAAAAAAGATAAGGCTATATCTTATTTTCTCTTTCTGTATTTATCTTCTTGCTACTTTGTTTCTAGAGCAAGTAATATTTGATTATAGAGGTGGCTCACAGTTTGAATTTCCAGTGATTCTTGTTTTTTCTTTTAATACTTGTTACCTGTAATAACACACCCTACTGTTGGATTTGTCTTCAACAAATCCAAATCCCTTAGTGCTGAGATGGGAATTGTGTTGAATTTATTATTTCTCAGAATAATTGTGATCTTTCCCCCACAAGTTAGAGATGCTCCAGTTATGCCAAAATTTTTGTTTTAGCAAGAATTGACCTGTAAAGCCAGCACTTTTAAAAAGCAGTTTTTAGGAATCAGTGAAGAATAAAAGGCCAAGACTTTTGCTCCTACTCATTCTTTCCTGCTTTTTTTTTTTTTTTTTTTTTTTTTAAATAGGGTCTTACTCTGTTGCCCTAGCTGGAGAACAGTGGCACGTTCACCACTCATTGTGGCCTCGACCTTCTTGGGCTCAAGTGATCCTCCCACCTCAGCCTCCAAAGTAGCTGGGACTACCGGCACACACCACTATACCCAGCTAATTTTTTGTGCTTTTTGTAGAGATGGAGTTTTACCGTGTTGCCTAGGCTGGTCTTGAACTCCTGCACTCAAGCAGTTTGCCTGCCTTGACCTCCCAAAGTGCTGGGATTATTGGCATGAGCCATCATGCTCAGCCATCCATTTTTTAATTAGGCAGGAAAATACAATATAAGGAGACGGCAGATAGGATATAGAATACTAGAGAAATCCTCTCCAAGTCCTTTCTTTCATTGATAAGGTACTTGGAGTTTGGAGGTCTTTTTCTATCTTTTTTTCTTTTTCTTTTCTTTTTTTTTTTTTTTAATGTTTCCTTGTTCCAAAAAGTCCTTCTGTCTAAATACATAGTGAGGTCTTTCACACAAAAAGAAATGTTATATGTGTTAGAAATCTTTGGATTGCAAGTGACAGAAACTTGATTCCAACTAGGAAAATCAAAACAAACTTTTTCCCTCATATAATGGGGAATAATGAATTGATCTGGTCTTAGGGGATGAATAAATTCAGGAACTCAGATTATGTTGAAAGAGTTCATCTGTTTTCTTGTTATTTCTCTTTCTCCATTGACCTCATTTTTTCCCATTTGAGGGAACTTTTTCCATATTGGTTCAGGAATGACTGTGAGGTGACAGGGTTCACTGCAGGCAGCTCCAGGTTTAATGTGATAAAACTTCAAAAAATTAAGCAGAGGCCGGGTGTAGTGGCTCATGCCTGTAATCCCAGCACTCTAAGAGGCCGAGGCAGGTGGATCACCTGAGGTCAGGAGTTCAAGACCAGCCTGACCGACATGGTGAAACCCCGTCTCTAGTAAAAGTACAAAAATTAACCAGGTGCGGTGGTGCGTGCCTGTAATCCCAGCTACTTGGGAGGCTGAGGCAGGAGAATCGCTTGAACCCGGGAGGCGGAGGTTGCAGTGAGCTGAGATTGCACCATTGCACTCTAGCCTTGGCAACAAGAGCGAAACTCCATCTCATAAATAAATAAATAAATAAATAAATAAATAAATAAATAAATGAGACTGCTCTTTGTCTCCTAAGCTATTGAACATAAAATCCCAGGAACAGACCCTGATTGGCCTAACTTAGGCCACATGCCAGTCTTTGCACAGATCACCCTGGCCAGGGTCTTGGTCCTATGCCCATGCATTTATGTGTCTTTTTGGCTACTGTGATTAGTATTCCAAATAGCAGATACCTTGTTAGAGGGTAATTCTGCTCTGACCAGAAGAGGAGAGGAAGGGTTGGTACCAGACAAAAACTGGTGTCTATTTTGTCTATGTAATGGTTGTTTTAACTTTTCTTTTTACAGACAGAAAGAATTTACTTTCAGGTTTTCTTACCTAAAGGGAGCAAAGAGAAGAGCAAACCAATGTTCTTTTGCCACCGATGGAGCATTGGAAAGGCCATAGACTTTGCCGCTTCTCTAGCCAGTCTTAAAAATGACAATAACAAATTAACAGCTAAGGTAACATCTCGTTATAGTATTATTTCCGTAAAGGTTTTATGATGTTCCATTCAAGCGTGTTCATTTACTACAGTATGACTTACTTCTCCTTTCACAGAAATTAAGGCTGTGTCACATTGCTTCAGGGGAAGCCTTACCCTTGGATCATACTTTGGAAACCTGGATTGCTAAGGAGGATTGTCCTTTATATAATGGTGGAAATATAATCTTGGAATATCTTAATGATGAAGAACAATTCTGTAAAAATGTTGAATCTTACTTGGAATAGTCATTCAGCAATTCAAGTCAGAAATCACAAGGAAAATTCTATTACATGGTTAAGTCCATTTCTTTTACTACAGATACTGTTTTTGTAATTTTTTAAAGTTGCTTTTTAACTTATTTCCCCTTATGTCACATTTTAAATTATGAGTTTTCTATTAGAATTTTTTTGTTTTAAGTTTAACTGTGTACTGATCCTCAGTTATTAGCAAATTCTTATATTTAATTAGTTTTCATTAGGTTATGCTGTAGTGACAACAACAAAGGTGTATTTCCTGGTGGGTGATGTCAGCTGTTGATTGGCTGTGGCACTGCTCTGTGTCATCTTCTCACCATGATCAAAGGTGAAGGAAGGACTCTCTTTTGGGACACTGTCATTGTTTTAGCAGAGAGAGAAAGAGATTGAAATACACTTCAGTTTTCTCTTAAAAGATGCATGTATCATACTTGCTTTAAGCAAGTCATATGGCCAAGCCTAGCATCATGGAGCCAGAAAGTATAGCCTTGCTGTCTATGTACGTCATGATGTATAAATTGATATATATACATGAATTATAGAAACTTAGAGGTCATCTTTATTCAGTCTTATAATTTTTACATGAAGAATCTTAGACCTAGGAGAAGAAAAGAATTTTCTTTCTATTACCTAACTAGATTGGGGCATATTTCTGATAAAGACTCACCTCTAGTGAGATTCATCTTTTTTGTTTGTGTGACTATATTACATATGAGAAGAAAGATGGGATAGCTCAACTTCATTATATACCAAAGCAAAACACATGCCAAATGGTGACTACATTTTACCAACAAATTTAGACGAGTATTCTTGACTAGTGTTTACTATCTATACCCCCAAAACTACTACTATATAGACAGAATAGAAATTATTTCTAGTTGTCCTTTTGTTTTTTTCTATTCTAATTGTCATGGACATATGTAGTGGCTATAGGTTTACTTAAAAGGAATAAACTTGGATTGCTCATTTGGTTTATTTCCTTTCTAATTCTTCATATTTTTATGTGAGGAATGGAGATAATTTCCAACTTTTATTATGTTCTTATACTTTCATTCATTAGCATAGTTATTTGAGTTCCCATGAAATGTAGAGATTTGTCTCTAATTGCCATGATTAATACAATGAAGATGTGTATACATACAGGTATACCTTGGAAATATTGTGGGTTCAGTTTCAGACTACCACACAAAGCAAATATTGCAGTATATTGAGCCAGACAAATTTTTTTTGTTTCCCAAGGCATATAAAAATTAAATTATGTCTACACTATACTATAGTCTGTTTAATGTGCAATAGCATTATGTCTAAAAAAAGTATATACCTTAAATAAAAAATGCTTTATTGACAAAAAATGCTAATAATCTGAGCCTTCAACCATTTGTAGTGTTTTTGCTGATGCAGGGTCTTGCCTAATTTCAATAGCTACTGACTGGGGCGGTAATTACAGAAGAAGGGGGTGGCTGTGACAACTTCTTAAAATAAGACCACAGTGAAGTTTGCCACATCGATTGACTCTTCCTTTCAGGAAAATTTCTGTGTAGCATGCAATGCTTTTGATAACATTTTTTTCGTGAGTAGAACTTCTTTCAAAATTGAAGTTAGTCCTCTTAAACCCTACCACAGCTTTATCAACTAAGGTTATGGAATATCTAAATCTTTTGTTATCATTTCAACAATGTTCATAGCATCTTCACTAGGAGGAGATTCCCTCGTATTTTATTTGTTTGTTTGTTTGTTTGTTTGTTTATTTTTTCTGAGATGGAGTTTTGGCCTTGTTGCGCAGGTTGGAGTGCAATGGCGTGATCTCGGCTCACTGCAACCTCCGCCTCCCAGGTTCAAGCAATTCTCCTGCCTCAGCCTCCTGACCTGGGATTACAGGCATGCACCACCACGCCTGGCTAATTTTGTATTTGTAGTAGAGATAGGGTTTCTCCATGTTGGTCAGGCTGGTCTCAAACTCGCCACCTCAGGTGATCCGCCCGCCTCAGCCCCCAAAAGTGCTGGGATTACAGGCATGAGCCACAATGTCTGTCCAAGATTCCCTCTTAAGAAACCACTCTTTCCTCATCCATAAGAAGCAACACCTCATCCATTCAGCTTTTGTTAAGAGATTGCAGCAATTCAATCACATTGTCAAACTCTACTTCTACTTCTTGTTTTCTTGCCATTTCCACCACAAGTGTAAGATCATGAATTGCAGATCACAATAACAGACGTAATCATAATGAAAAAGTTTGAAATATTGAGAGGATCACCAGACTGTGACACAGATACACAAAGTAAATGCATGCTCTTAGAAAAATGGCTCTGGTAGGCCCGGCATGGTGGCTCACACCTGTAATCCCAGCACCTTGGGAGGCCGAGGTGGGTGGATCGCTTGAGGTCAGGAGTTCAAGACCAGCCTGGCCAACATGGTGAAACCCCGTCACTACTAAAAATACAAAAATTAGCTGGGCGTGGTGATGGGCACCTGTAATCCCAGATATTGGGGAGGCTAAGGCAGGAGAATCACTTGAACCTGGGAGGCGGAGGTTTCAGTGAGCCGAGACTGTGCCACTGCACTCCAGCCGGGGTGACAAAGCAAAAAAGACTGCATTTGATTTAATCTGATGCAACATAAAATGGAGCGCCATAAAATGTGCTATGCTTGCACTTATATGCAAAGTAGTGTAGCAGATGCTAATTTAGTAGGTAATAAGTATGCCTATGTTCCAATAACCCCTTTATCAGAAAGTATAACACTTAAATATATCCCCAGATACCAATAAGTTTTAATGACAACTAATACCGTAATGTTTATCACAATTACTTGCACATACAAGAAGATCAACGCATGGTCATGCAGTTGACTAAAACTATGCCAGAAAAATAATAACAAGGTTGAGAAGTGGGGAAGTAAGGCTGACAGGACTTGAGTTAAACCTAAGGAGAATGAAGAAGTCCTATCAATGATTAGATAGTAAAAAGGCAAGGCAGTCTGGATGGAAGGACTCATTAATATTAGCAGGCTTACTGGTGGTAAGTTAGGTGTGGTCCCAGATAGTGGAGCAAACTTGTCTGGTGGAGACAGGAGCTAGCATCCTTAGTACTGGGACTGGTGCCTGCAGCAGGAGCCATCTCCTAAAGAGAACAAGGTGTGGGAGAAAGAAAAGACTCAGTTTCTAGTGCTCTATTTCTAAATTACTCAGCAGACAACTTTCTCAGGCTTTCTATTAGGGTTTTCAGTTGAGGATGCTTACAAAAATTTTAAAGATTCACTCTCCCCACTCCACTCTAGCATCTTTCCACCTGCTTGCAGACAAAATTTTAAGTAGGAAATCCACAAAGAGAGTAAAAGTGTTTTAAATTTACGTAAGTAGTGGAAATAACAATATAATACAAATGACTTCTAGTTTAAAAAATCAGGCAGCAAATGCTAGGGAACTTCAAAGAGTTCATGGAAAAACTGAAAGATAAAAATAGGCCAGAGCTGGGCACAGTGGCTCAAGCCTGTAATCCCAGCACTTTGGGAGGCTAAGGTGGGTGGATCACTTGAGGTCAGGAGTTGAAGACCAGCCTGGCCAATGTGGTGAAACCCCATCTCTACTAAAAAGACAAAAAACTAGCCAGGTATGGTGGTGCACGCCTGTAATCCCAGCTACCTGCGAGGCTGAGACAAGAGAATCACATGAACCCGGGAAGTGGAGGTTGCAGTGAGCTGAGATCATACCATTGCACCCCAGCCTGGGTGACAGAGCAAGACTTCGTCTCGAAAAAAAAAAAAAAAAAAAAAAAGCCAAGTGTGGTGGTTCACACCTGTAATCCTGAAACTTTGGGAGGCCAAGGCAACAGGATCACTGGAGCCCAGGAGGTCGAGGCTACAGTGAGCCATGATCTTGCCACTGTACTCCAACCTGGGCAACAAAGTGAGACCCCTTCTCAAAAAAGAAAACAGATAAAAATACAAAACATAAACTTTATTTTTCAGCATAAGCTCCATCGAGTTTAAGACACTTTTGTAAGCAATGATACCATCCAGTTAGTCCATTCCATAATAAATGATGGTCCTGGATATTTAATCATGTTATTGCAGTCTTTTTATTAACTAAAGAAAAATGGGTGCCCCTTTGAAGTTATTTTTTTTAAAGATTAGGAAACAAGAAGTCAGAAGAAGCCAAATTAGAACTCTAAAGTGGATGTCTAATGATTTACCGTCAAAATTCAAAATTGCCCTTGTTTGATGAGAGGAATAAGCAGGAGCATTGTCCTAGTGGAGAAGCAATCTCTGGTGAAGCTTACCTGGGCATTTTTCTGCTAAAACTTTGCCTGTTTCTAAACACTCTCATAATTTTTTTTTTTTTCTTTTTGTAGAGGTATGTTTTGCTATGTTGCCCAGACTGGTCTTGAACTCCTGGCCTCAGTGGATCCTCCTGCCTTGGCCTCCAAAAATGCTGAGACTACAGGCATAAGCTACTGTACCCAGCCTCAAAACACCATTATAATAAGCAGGTTATTGTTATTTGGCTCTCCAGAAAGTTAACAAGAAAAATGCTTTGAGCATCCCAAAAAACAGTTGCTATGACCTTTGCTTTTGACTGGTCCAGTCCACCTTTATTTTGACTGGACCGCTTCCACTTCTTGGTAGCTATTGCTCTGTTTGTGCTTTATCTTCAGGATTATTTTGGTAAAGCCATGTTTCATCTCCTGTTACAATTCTTGGAAGAAATCCTTCAGGATCTTGATCCCATTTGTTTAAAATTTTTATTGAAAGGCAACTGAAATTTTAAGTAGAAAACCCACAGAGAGAACAAAAGTACTCTTGTCTGTAGCTGATCTGGGTGCAATAGTTTCAGTACTCATCAAGTGGAAAGTTTGCTCAAGTTTAATTTTTCTGTCAGCATTGTGTAAGCTGAACCAACTGACACATCTATGGTGTTGGATATTGTATTAGTCCATTCTCGCACTGCTATAAAGAACTACCTGAGGTCGGGCACAGTGGCTCATACCTGTAATCCCAGCACTTTGGGAGGCCAAGGCGGGTGGATCACCTGAGGTCAGGAGTTCGAGACAAACCTAGCCAACATGGTGACACCCCGTATCTACTAAAAATACAAAACCTTTCTGGGTGTGGTGGCAAATGCCTGTAATCCCAGGTACTCACGAGGCTTAGGCAGGAGAATCACTTGAACCTGGGAGGCAGAGGTTGCAGTGAACCGCGACAGCACCACTGCAGTCCAGTCTGGGCGACAAGAGCAAAACTCGGTCAGAAAAAAAAAAGAATTACCTGAGAGTGGGTATTGTATAAAGAAAAGAAGCTTGACTCACAGTTCCACAAGCTGTACAGGAAGCATGTCTGTGAGCCTCAGGAAACTTAAAATCATGGCAGAAGGGGAAGAAAGCACATCTTCACATGGCCAGCAGGAGACAGCATGTGAAGAGGGAGGTGCTACACACTTTCAAACAACCAGATCTCATGAGAACGCTATCATGGGACAGCACTAGGGTGATGGTGCTAAACCATCAGAAACCATGCACATGATCCAGTCTCCTCCCTAGATGTCCCTCCTCCAACACTTCCTCTCATTACACTTCTACACGAGATTTGGGTGGGGACACAGAGACAAACCATATTAGATATTGTCTGTGCTATAATCGCTGGTTCTCTTCAATGAGGGCACAAACAAGATTAATTTTTTCTTCACAAATTGCTGTGAATGGTCTGCTGCTGTTGGCTTCATCTTCAACATTGTCTCGTCTCTTAAAATGAGTTATTCATTTGTAAACTGCAGATCTCCTTGGGATATTGTCCTCATAACCTTTATGTGAAGCATCAGTGATTTCACCATTCTTCCACCCAAACCTCACCATAAATTCGATGTGTGTTCTTGTTTCAATTTTATCAGAATTCATGTTTCTCTGATAAAAGAGCTCTTTTCTAAATGTCTTACCTTTGTTAGTGTCCTTCACTAGATCCTGTTGAGACATGTTATAAAAAGTCAGTTTATTCTGGTGCAAAAAAAATTTGAAATTCACACTTTTTTATAACACATATTTTCCTTGAAAATTTTGAAGAACCCTTATATAGATGAATGATAGATTATCAAAGTTTTCCTAAATTTGTCAGACTTTATTCTTCACAGTTTTCAAATGAAAAGGCTTGGAGAAACCGAAGAACTAAAAGGGTTGCAGATAGAGTCCTGAAGGGAAAGAAAAATTGATATACTCACATCTTCGACCTGGGCAACAAAAGTTATGAGTCAAGATATTTGGTCACATAATCGTAAAGATAAATTAGGTTTTATGACATTTTTGTTTTTTGTTTTGTTTTTGTCATTTTAAAATAGAGACGTTTTAACTGAAATATC